ATGTATATCTCTTTACAGCTATGTATTGTATATATGAAGCTCCAAGGACCTCTACATATCATATACATACAGGGTCGGACCTTGCTACTGATCTAGAAGAGAACTCTCTTCCTTAATGAGAACAACAAGCCCGCCATCTCCTCTAGAAATCCGGAGATCACTGTCAAGGTATGTTGTAATAAGCCAAGATTTTGTCCTCTCACCTGGAATTGGAACCTTGAGAGGAGGCAGACCAGAAATAGTTCGGCCTATACCTGCCACAGCATTTTCTAGAGGTCCCAGATATTGCTGTAGAGGTGACAAACTTATGTTTTGGCCAAAGATATCCATGTTTTCTGGCAGATCTATTTTGACTTGATCTCCGGAGGCTTAAATGTCCCTTCTTTGAATTCAACCTAAAAAGGCAAGTACTAGTTAGTATATGAATGCACACAGCTACAGATGTACTCTACAAACTTATGGAGGTTCATCAAGATAAACTATGCATTGTTTGCCAGGGGCAGAGAGTCACATCACCACGACTATTATCTTATTTGACTGTAGTACAGTTTTGATCATATTCTCTTCACATACGACACTCTAGTACCTCTCTGAAGAAATAACAGTGCAGTCCAAAAAAGGTACCTGTATTCTTGATGGACTCTGAACTTCAAAGACAGCAGTTGCACTGAAAGACGAGGTGGCTACAGGGCTTGACAATGTAGTTGAGTTCTCTATGGTAAGGCTGCTCATACTAATTGTTTGACTAATCTTTTCGACCTTCAACAAAGGAATGGTGCCCACAGCCAGAAGAGGTAACAGCTCAGAAAATGCAGTAAACCTGACACATCAGGAAGCAACTTAAGGATGAGTTTGAGCATAGTAGTATCCCTGTGGTTATCTACCTCAATCCAGTTAATGCATGTAATGGTTACATTTCCAACTAGTTCAACTCTTCTATATATGTCAAGGGGATTCAACAATCTATATATATATATACAAAAAAAATGTTTTTACCCTACTTGCACAGTGTAATTTTCGGAAGGGGATTCAATTGAATTCCCTTCCTTCCTTTAGCACCACCACTGTGTGCAGGCATTTTAGTATATTGCAACCAACACTGGCACTACAACATTGAATACTTAGGCATGCTGCTGTGGGAATTAATAAAAATTGCAGTTAACGAATCACCATCACATGGTGCTCCAACTTGCAGTTAAATGCCGAAAATTTTGGGAAGGTAATCATCTCTAAGTATACCTCCTACATCAATAAGCAGAGAAGTTCAACAACAATCTTAGCCAAGTCAAAATCTGAAGGCTTTATAGAAGTCCTCGTTCAAAATCGGAAATCAGCTATTCCTATTAGGACTCCCAAAATATGTCCACTTCTCTATGAGAGACCTTATATTAATCCTAGAGCAAAGATTCACCCAAAAGCCACTTTCTTCCCTCGCAAAACACACTCAAAAACACAAATTCATTGCCCCTAACACGAGATAATTGTAGTGTCCGGGCCAGCTCTCGTGCACTCAACTAATAACACAGAAACGTGTTACCTTCCACCAATAACAAGTACCAAGTAGCTCTGTAAACAAATCATGTCAATTGTACTCTAATCTAGTTGAGTGGCTATCTAAGCCAATCAATCATTCAATAACCATCTACTTCTATATTCTAAATAAGACGGAATCAAGTATCAATCCTCCATGATCTATGTTGCTCAAACTCTTCAAAAATGTCATCGGTGCATGTTGAATCCTCCAAAAGTAGTGATTTATAGTTTTCGACACAGGTGCAACAACAATTTTGGGAAGTTCGACAACATAGACTCCATTCAATTCGAGCACATATCATTCCACCACAGGTAAATAAAGCCAAAAACAGAAAATTGAAAATTGAAATGAGAAACAAGAACTCACACTAAAATCCAGTTCCCGTCAAGCAATACAACTGGATTTGGAGTTGGATTTGCTGCCTCCAACTTAGCAACCAGCTCCAGAGCCTCAGCTCGAACCTCGGATGAGGCCCTGAGCCCAAAATCTGTTCCATAGACCGTGTCAATTAAGCACCTTTTCATCTCTGCAAGTCTCTCGTCTTCTTCAACACCTGCATTGATTCTCCCCACTCCTATCCATCTTCCTCCATCGATTCGGGTTCGAAAACACCCTGATTTCTAACTCTATCAATGTTGTCGTTGCCTGTTAGCTTAGCACCGATCCATTCGTCTTCGTCAATAGGAGGATCCGAATCCGATACCGTTTTCGCGGGTCGGAGCTCCGGAAACGACTTCTCGCCCCACTCATCTTCAATCCCTGAAGTGTTGTTGATCCCTAGCTCAGCTCTACCCCATTCGTCTACGTCAATAGAAGGATCCGATTCCGATAACTTCGTCATGGGTCGGAGCTCCGGTTTCGACCTCTCGCCCCATTCATCAACAAATGAGAATGGTTTATCATCAGAATCATCGTCGTTTTGCTTGGGTTTTGGTACAAAAAAATCTCGAGAATCGTCGAATGATGAATGAGTTGAAAATTGTGAAAGTTTTCTAAATTTAGAGCTTGAGATTGAAAACGAAGAAGAAATGAAGTGAAACAGTAGGATTTAGCAGTGGTTTTAACGCTGAAAATGAGAGAATGCAAGGATAGAATAGACAATTTTTTCCTTCCGACAGCTTTTAGCGTCGGTGACGATAGAGATTCCGGTCGATGAAGTGAATTTCCTCCTTCCAGCGGCGGTGGTCGGTGGAGATGCCGCCGGACACGACCGTGGTTTTCTCTTCTTCTTCCGGGAGGAGTTGACTACATGTTTTTTTTTAGATTAAAAGGAATTGATAAAAGCAATATTTTTGGCTAGTAACTGCTCGAATTCTTAAAAAATTATGAATGCTTGTCGGATTCTTAAAAAATATGAATAATGGATATCGGATTCTTCGATAATAATACTATACCTTTAGAAAATGAAAATTTAACATGAATACGTTATCGAAAGTAAATTAATATTGCAACTCAAAGAACAATAAATTAAAATATTTGATTATTCAAAATCCGTAACTTTATTTGTAGATTATAAAATATAATAGCTATATTTACAATATTTATTCTACGTTGAACGATATAAATATTATAAATCGACACTCTTTAATTCACATTGTTATGATGAAGTTCTTGATCAATAATAACGATAATGTTATTGTTATTTCATATAATCATCTAGTTTATCTCATTTACATTTGGACCTTCTAATCCATACACATAAAACTTGAATATATTATATTCTCCCAAACTCCATTTATAAAGTTAAACGATTATATTATTATAATTTTCTAAACACTAAAAACGACGAGTATTTATTATTCATCTGCATATGTATAAGTCTACAATTAATAATAAAACGAGACTAAAAGGGGAAGTAAGTAAAAACACTAATGTACCCTTCGCGTGGTTGAATTCGCACGACAAGTGGAGACTCTACAAATCTCAAATGGGTAATATTGTGATTGACAAAAAAAAACCAAATAAGTAGCAAAACTGTCGTTTTATCTCACCACGATTAAAGCCCATCAAGCTTCAATGTAAACGAGTAAATGACATATATATACAACTATTATTGAAAATTAGCAATATATAGCCCATAATTAAAATGCATATAATAGACCAAAAGATAAGGAGCACAAAATAGCCCATTATTAACATACTACAACTAATAGGGTTTTTTTTTTTTTTTGGAGAAACTAACTGCCACACTCAACTGGCATTAAAGACGGAACGTGGGAAACCACATAACTCCTAGAGATAATAAGCGATTCAGCGTCCATAACTCCATAAATTCATAAACTTCATGTCCAATACAAAAAAAATAAAAAATTAACGAGGTTCTACTACAAATATCAACAAATAAATGGCGTCTTTGATAGTGTTGATTCATCATAGCGGAGAATGGGATAGCACAAATAATTTTGTAAATTATTCCATGGATGGGGTGGTTATTACAACAAACATTGATTTCAACGGATTCACTCTCTAGATTTCAAGCCATCTAAATGTATACTTCCTTGAATTCATTTGAATTTCATTATAAAATTGATGCAAAATTCTATGCCTATGTGGATACGAAACACTATGGGATTACAAGTATACATCGAATTGAAAAAAGGTTCAGGAAACTTCAAAGACAATCCATTGTGCATAACTTGGAAAGCTATAGATATTCATCATACACTTTCAATTATTGGAGAAGAATATGAGGAGGTCGATACCCAAATCATACCATGGCTGCTCGGCAGATTACATATTTTCAACAATGCAATATTATTGAAAGTGATGTTGCTAACGTACCCTCAGAAGGTCAACTATATAAGGATAAAAAGATTTTGAAGTCTGTCATTGAAAATTATGCAATTCAAATGAAGTTTCAATTTAAAGTGAACATATCAAGTTCATCAAGGTATTATTCAATTAGTATAAGTAGAATATGAATCTATGATATCTACTACAATGTATACCTTTTCAAAAATGGTATACTTTATGAAACCAATTACTTATAAATTTTACAAGTTGACTGAAATTAATATTATCAAAAGATTGGTTTTTATCACGTGATTGAATAGTAATGTATACAATGCATTATTGTATACATATTCATGTATTCATTCACTCAAAAAATTAACCTAAGTATCGAATTATCTTTTATCATGACCGGGTTTTTATCATGTGAATGCACATTCATGTATACACTACATTCATGTATACATATCCGTGTATTCATTCAATAAAACTTTGTATACATTTCAGATTTTTCCTTCAGTGTGTAAATGAAGATTGCACTTGGAAATTAAAATGATCAGCATTGCACAAGTCAAAAATATTCAAAGTGAGACGATTCATTGCTAAACACACTTGTCCTGCAAAGGATAGACTAATGTCGCAACGAGTTGCTACCTCAACTATACTTGGAAGAGCAATATAGTACAAATATCATGATCCAAAAGTTGTATACAATGCAAGAGACATAATTACTGATATGAATAAACAATTTGGACTTGATTTGACATACTGGAAATCACATCAAGCAAAGTTAAAAGCATTGAAAATGGTTAGGGGTGATCCCACAGAATCCTATGCTGAGATACCAAGATGTTTGCACATGTTGACACAATCAAATCCAGGATCTATTGTCAGTTTACAAAAAACAGTCGATGGACATTTTCAATATGCTTTTGTGGCTTTAAATTCTTCAATACAAGGTTGGGTAAATTGCAGGCCAGTTGTAATTGTTGATGGAAGCTTTCTCAAAGTAGCTTATCATGGAACATTTCTAACTGCTAGTTGTCAAGATGTTGGAGGTATGTATACAACTCTTATTTATTTCAATATATTTTTCCACATATACAGATCGTATTAATTGCCTCCACAAATAATTTTTTTCTCAAAACATTATACCACACTTACAGTTCATTATGATTTATTTAGGACATATATTACCATTGGCATACGCAATTGTTGATTCCGAGAATAATGCATCATGGCAATGGTTTTTTGAAAAGTTCAAGAAAGCGTATGGAGTGAGGGATAAAATGTGTTTTGTATCAGATAGACATCAAAGCATAATTAGAGCTATATCGGTTATATTTCCAGATTTACCACATTACGCATGTATGTGGCATCTGTGGAAAAACATTAAAGAAAATTTCAGGAGAAACCAATTACAATTAAGGGAAATATATTATGCAATGGCTCGCGCATACACTGTGCAAGATTTTGATTACTATATTGCTGAAGTTAATCGCATTGATCATCGAGTGAAATCTTACCTGTATGAAATTGGCTATAGTAAATGGTCAAGGGCACATTCCACAAGTAATAGAACTATGACCATGACATCCAACATAGCAGAGTCGCTTAACTCAGCAACAAAAGACGCACGAGATCTCCCAGTAACAAGGCTGCTTGAAGAGATGCGTAAATTAATTGAGAAATGGAACTATGACAAGTCAAAAGAAGCTCTGTATACAAATACTAAACTTACAGCAAAATATGAATCAATTCTTGTTGATAACCTGGAAATTGCACTACATATGATGGTAAGTTCTATTACTTATACTAATCATATTAATTTTTCTAAATATAAATTGCACACCATAAATATTTATACTAATCATATTAATTATCCTCAATAGGTGCGACCTTCAAGTGATTACCTACATACCGTCACACATATGGGGAAAACTTTCATCGTTTGTATAAAAGCAAAAACATGTACATGTCAACAATTTCAACTCGATGAACTTCCATGTCCACATGCTTTAGCAGTATTACATAAAAAAAGGCTTGGATGGAGATGATTACAACTCATTATACTATACCAAGGAGAACATGATGAAGACATGATATCCCCGTACATCCAATGCCCGATGAAAGTACATAAGACTTACCCCAAGAAGTGGCTGAAAAAATTTTATTGCATCCAATAGGTAACAAAGTGCCAGGAAGACCCAAAAAAAAAAGACAAGAAAAAGCTTGGAAATCAACAAAAAAAACATATAAAACTTCATGTGGAAAATGTGGACAAGAAGGGCATAACATCAGAACATGCCTAAAGAAAAATAGAAGTTACATATAGTAATTATATATAATGTGTATCTATTTCTTTAGAATATTTTATGAATTCATTGATGTCATGTACATTATTATAGTCACTGATAAGATGTTTGTTGTTGATTGATAAGATGTTTGTTGTTGATAGACATTCACTGATTCACGATTTTCTTTTTCTTCTCCTTTGAAGCTCACAGATTCAGTAATGTACTCTCTTTTTTGTTATTTGTATGAATTTCGATTTCTTTGCGATTTGTGATGCTTCGTCACTTTAGTTTCATGGTCATTGCTACATATATGGAATAGTTCAAGAATTAAATTAATCTGATTGAAATTTGAAGTTAAATTACTAAATTCGACAACTCCAATTCCATTCCGTTTTGTTCATCATTAAAATTTCTCGCTAATTTTTTCTGCTACTCTACAGTTACTTACAACTTTCCCCCCCCTTAAAATCCTAATCCATTTCAGAATAGTAGATTTTGAAAATTGTGTATTTCTCTTTCCTTGTGAATATAATTGGGTTTTTCTTATAATAAAAATCAGAATCTTTATTTTGTCTGATCAACAAAGTCTATGTATACCATTCTTTTATATGTACTCAGAAATGCATTTCAATAGTTGTTAATCCTGGTAATTGTTTTTTATTAGATTAGGATTTCTCATTTCAACTATTCACCTATGTGGATTTGACATTCTTATGAGTTTTTGTTGTCTTTTATGTTTTTATACATGCAAAATGTGCTTGCAACAGAGAGGAATGCCAAAATGGTGCATCTGCCATGTAAAGCATACTTGAAGACATGTCAACTGATACTTAGCACATCACACAGTAATATAAATTTCATGCCACTACATATATGCATTGCTTTGTTAAAAAGAGTTGGATGGGAATGAATTTAAAATTGTTTTTCTCTTCTCCATTTCTTGCATTATTCTCATGAAAATAACTATTCAAGAAATCGTAATCAGTAATTGAGTAATTGATCCATTTTATATGTTGCAACATTGGTCCGTTGTGGTAGCGATTTGTGTCTGAGAGGAGATCCATGAAGCCGTTGAGCAGGCACTGACTGTACTTTTCAATTTGAGGCCATTACTGTATATATGTATTTTCTGCTTTTTCATACCATTCAATAGTCAGATAACAAAAAATTAATAAGTAAGTCAATTTATGTAACTGATCGAGGAGTTAATATCTCAAAAGGTCATTGAACTATGAGAATTTAACTAACAAAGTCATTAAACTTTATTTTGTATCAATAAAATCACTTAACTTAACACTTTTATCTTTAAAAATCAGTCAAGTACATTTATCTTTAAAATCAAATTGAGATGGCAAAATAAATTATTTTATACCATATAAAAACGAGTTCACACATTATTTTTTATTTTACAATTTTATTTTACTTTTTGAAAAAATTGAATCTGCACCATTTCCAGGCACCTTTTCCCATTGAATGTAATTTCTATTACATTTTGAATAATTTTAAATTTTTTCAAACAATTCCCATTTTCTCAAAATATATTTTTTACACCAAGAAACTAGAAAGAAAGTGTGAACCTCTAGTGGACTCACCGAACTAGAACAATCCACAGAGGAATAACGAATCTAAAATTCACCACTTTTTACATTATTTTTTATTTTGCAACATTTTCTTTTTTTCAAAAAAAGGTCAAAATCCGCACCATTTTTAGTTTTTTTTTAAATTTTTTTGTTTATTTGTGGAGTCTATGATTATATGAAATAAAAAATAATTTATTTTATTATGTCACATTTATTTTTAATGATTAAGGTAGTTGAGTGATTTTTGAAGATAAAAGTGTTAAGTTGAGTGATTTTATTGAAACAAAACAAAGTTCAATGACTTTGCTAGTTAAATTCTCATACTTCAATGACCTTTTGAGATATTAACTCCTGATCGAACTAGCATGGAGACTAATCTCTAAATACTAGATTTTTATTTTGATAATGGATAGATTTGATAATTAGAAAATAAAATCCAACAAAAACATAAAGAATCTCCTTTTTTAGGAGTAATTTTAGGAATTGTTTTCTTAACCATGACAATTGCTACCCACAAACAATTACTATCTCTTAAATTTTCACCAAAATATATAAACCTGAATCTTTAAATCTTAAAAACAATGAAAAGAGTTGAGAACAAAATACAAAGATGAAGAAAAAATAGACACATAGTATATTTTTACGGAAGGAATTCTAAAAAGTAACATCAACTATTGTATAAGTGAATGGAAGAATAATGGTTAAATATTTACAATATCACTAAAAGCTAACTAAAATTAACGTGGAAAAGAGGAGAAAAAAAAAGAAGGAAAAACTGACCCACTACCCAATAAACTCAAATAACTTCTCATAGAATAACGTGGGCTAAAATATGCCAATTTCAATTTTAAAAAAGCTTTTTTTGTTATAAAAATAAAAAAGGGCTAAATATTGCCAATAAATAAAAAGAGATTACATTCTGTGCCATTTGTATCTCTTTTTCAAAACATTCAACTCCAATATCCCTCGATCCGTCGCCGGAAAACACAAAAAAATTAGGGATTTTTGGTCGCTGGACTAGCGCTGGCCATGGCTATGCACGTTGGAGTAGGCTTAACAAAGATCGTCTTCATCGTTGGAGCAGGTATATACACTTAATCAGCGACTAGTGTGTTGTAATTTTGTGATTGATTGTGGTGAATTTTGTGGTTTGATCTGATATTTGTATGAAATATGTATGTTTTTGTGTGTATATGTAGGGTATACTGGTACTTTGTTGTTTAAAAACGGAAAATTATCGGATGTGATAGGCGAGCTTCAGGTATGTGTTCAATCTAGGTTTTTAATTGCTTGAAGTTAGATTCGATTTGCTTTGTGTTTTTTCAATTCTGTTATAGAGATGGTACGGTTGTATATCTATGTTACTATGTGTGTTATGTGTCTATTGTTGCATCTTTAATGAGCTAGAATCGCTTAGATGGTAAGCATCCTTCACCTCCAACCTTAAGGTTATAGGTTCGAGTCCCTTACCTTAAGGTTATAGGTTTGAGTCACTAAGGGAGCACTAGGGAGTCGAGTCACTAAGGGAGCAAGCTAGGACCAGATAATATAAATTGAAAGCAAAACTGTCAAGGGGAATGATGAAATAACTTTTATTCACACGTGGTGAGTTTAAATGTTTCTTTTCCAATGTTTGTGGCAGAATTTGGTCAAAAGTTATGAAAAGACAGGGTATCAGATGGTGGAGATTCGGATGTCATCACTGCACAGGTACCCAGCGGAGTCGCCATTCTACTGCTCCCCGTTTTTCACAAAACGGGTTTTGGTGCACGACCTAACAACTCTTTTAGGCTTTGGTAAATGAAGAGTCGTCCCCTAATGAATTAAGGCGCGTTAGGGCACCTATCTAACCTAGCTAATTTTAACTATAGGTCAACGAATCAGAGATCGGGTAAGGGTTCATATTACCTTGATGGAAAAGTGTTAGGCATCTCTCGAAGTCCACAAATGTGGGTCCCAGCCGTATCTCATGCAATTTACGTGGGGCTTACAAGTAGCATTTAAGGTCACTTCATTTATTGGTTATTTAAACATGCTTGCTAAGTGATAACTAATATCAAACAATTAAGATCAATTTATTTACTTATTATTTAATTGAGCATGCAAAAATAGGTGATAACATAATACTAAACAATTAAGGACACTTTAGCTATTTTAATTAATTTGATAGGCATGCGAGACTAAGTGATAATATAATAACAAATAAATATTACACAATTAATAAAAAGATGAGCGAGGAGATAGAAATTTGCACAATTAGATAGAGTAAACACTTTTTATTTTTATTAAACTACCCCAAATAATTATAATTGTAAAATAAGTAAAGTGAGAAAAGGAAAGGGAGACTCTGAAGGACTTTACGAATCAGCACTCGACTTTATTTATTTCGGTCGGCTTCTCATAGAGACAGACAAAACCAAGGTTTGTCATTAAAACTGAGTCGATATCATCATCTCCGTAGGGCCTAAACTACCCCTACCCCACCACCGCATGCTTCTCGTCTCTACAAGGTGCATATCGTCCCCGCTTAAGGTCCAAGAGACATTAGACTGCTATTAGGGTTAATTTAGACAAAAATAAAATATATGATTCCTAATAGGCCCACCTAGACATCAAGTCAAACAAATAGGACAACACTTAGCATGTAAATCTCATATTGGCCTCTAGATTTTTATTTAGCATACTAGCAAACACAAGTAAGGGGAAAAGGTTGCATGCTAAGTGTGTGACATATTAACAAACATTATATCAATATAATTAATTTAGAGGACAAAAAAATATTACAAGTGCAAAAATATTCATTTACATTTAATGAGGGTAGAAGATTGCTCACAGATGTATAAAATAATTTTTGTTTAGAGCAGATTATACTATTATTAACTAACATGCTTAAAGTAAATCGTTAATTTATTTTCAAATAAAAGAACAGTTTGTTAGTGCAGAAGTTACTTATTTCGAGTATATTTGAATTAGGGCAGTATGTTAAGGTGTCAGATTCATGCCAAAATAATTGATTTTAGGTGGCAGGAAAATGTTTAAGTGCAAACGTGGGTTTATAATTAAAAATCAGTTCCAGCCTCAACATCAGGACCAGAAATATTAAAAATTAAAATAAATTGTTGAAATTCTTGAATTTAAGGTTACTGTATTTATTTGTGAATTTTTGGCGTAATTTTTTTTTCCATATTTTTTCTTTTTTTATTGATTAATTACTCATTTTCGTGATTTACCAAAAAAAATAAAAAATAACAAACTTTGTTGAAATTGTTTTGAATTTAAGGTCACTATATTTATTTGTGAATTTTTTGCGTTAATTTTATATATTTTTTCATATTTTTCATATTTTTTATTAAGTAATTACTCATTTTAGGGATTTATCAGAAAAAAAAATTTCAAAAAAATTATTGAAATTGTTGAATTTAAGGTTGCTATATTTATTTATAAATTTTTTGCGTTAATTTTATATTTTTTTCATATTTTTCCTATTTTTTATTAATCAATTACTCATTTTCGGGATTTACAGAACAAAATAAAAATTACAAAAAATTGTTGAAAACAGGTCGGATAGGTTATTTGAAAGAGGGGTGATTTATGGGTCGGATAGGTGTTTTAAAAGTGGTTCGGATAGTTTATTTAAAAGAGGGGTGATTTATTGGTCGGATAGGTGTTTTAAAAGTGGTTCGGATAGTTTATTTAAAAGAGGGGTGATTTATTGGTCGGATAGGTGTTTTAAAAGTGGTTCAGATAGTTTAGGGGCATAAGCGACCCTTTCCCTTTTAATATAAATGTCACGTGGTAATGTAAAAATGACGTGGCAATTTCCAGCAGGCCAACTAACGCCATAAGTGCATATCTAGACCAAAAGTTGGACGGCAAGGGTATGAGTGAGCCAAAATTTAAACGAGGGGGGGGGGGTATAACTAGACCTTTTCGAAAAGTTTAGGGACATATTTGACCCTTTTCCCATTAAAAAATTATGAATGCTTGTCGGATTCTTCAAAAATATGAATAATGGATATTGAATTCTTCGAAAATAATACTATACCTTTAGAAAATGAAAATTTAACATGAATATGTTATCCAAAGTAAATTAATATTGCAACTCAAAGAACAATAAATTAAAATATTTGATTATTCAAAATTCGTAACTTTATTTGTAGATTATAAAATATAATAGTTATATTTACAATATTTATTCTACGTTGAACGATATAAATATTATAAATCGACACTCTTTAATTCACATTATTATGAAGAAGTTCTTGATTAATAATAACGATAATGTTATTGTTATTTCATAAAATCATCTAATTTATCTCATTTAGATTTGGATCTTCTAATCCATACACATAAAACTTGAATATATTTTATTCTCCCAAACTCCATTTATAAAGTAAAACGATTATATTATTATAATTTTTCTAAACACTAAAAACGACGAGTATTTATTATTCATCTGCATATGTATAAGTCTACAATCTATTGATAAATTTTCAATATTTTAAATAATTAATAATCAATAATTAAATAAATAAATATAGGCACATGTCAATAATTAGAATTAGAACGACACATGTCAACACCACAAAAATAAAATACAAATAAATAAATAATTTTTTTAACTATCTTTCCACAACCTCCTTATTTATAGCAAAAAAATGTAGATGATAATAATAATAAATTTTCAATTTTTTAAAAATCATTTCATTACATAGTAAAATATTTTTATTATTTTTTAAAATAATTTTGAAGTAGTTTTTACAAATAAACGAGAAATAATTTTTAAAAAATTCTTTTTTTTTCCTAAAATGAAAAATTGGTTACTATTCTTTGAATTTGAATTTTAAATTTACTGTCTTGAAATAAAAACATTTAAAATAATAAAAAAAGTAAACTTTAATTTTTGGTAAGTACGTTAGGGATCCTATTTTGGTGGAAAATTATCCAATGTTTTATACAAAATATTTAAAATAATTTTCCACAACTACTCCTTTGTAGCAAACAGAATGCAAATTGCTTACACTAATTTCTTAAGCATAAAAATAAATTAATAGCAAGAATCGGACTCATTTTATAATGCAATTTTTTTGATAGAATAAAATTATTTATTTCATACGTGTATGTAGATTGTTGTCACATTTAAATTGTTTTCTTTAGTTTTAAATTTTTTCAAATACAAAATATTTTCTCAAATTAATTACTGCTAATAAAATATGAAATATACTAAGATTATATAATAAAAAAGATTTAAAATAGGGTAATGTAGTTACAAAACGAATTTTTTTTTAATTATTGAAATAAAATAAAATGAATTAAAAAATAAAAATTAAGACAATTAGAAAATCACCATAACTCTCCCACTTCCGCTATATGCTCACTCAGAGAAGTTTTTTTGCAACAAATCTCTTTTTCAAAACATTCAACTCAAATATCTCGCCGGAAAACACAAAAAAATTAGGGTTTGTTGTTCACCGGACTAACGCCGGCCATGGCTGTGCACGCTGGAGTAGGCTTAACAAAGATCGTCTTCATCGTCGGAGCAGGTATACATTTAATCAGCGATGGTGATTTACTTTTTGTTCCAGTATCCCTGACCAGGTGGTCTGGACTCGATTTCATTTTTCAATTTCGAGAATCAACCAACGGTCTAGTGTGTTGTAATTTTGTGATTGATTATGGTAAATTTTGTGGTTTGATCTGATATTTGTATGAAATATGTATGCTTTTGTGTGTATATGTAGGGTATACTGGTACTTTGTTGTTTAAAAACGGAAAATTATCGGATGTGATAGGCGAGCTTCAGGTATGTGTTCAATCTAGGTTTTTAATTGCTCGAAGTTAGATTCGATTTGCTTTGTGTTTTTTCAATTCTGTTATAGAGATGGTACGGTTGTATATCTATGTTACTATGTGTGTTATGTGTCTATTGTTGCATCTTTAATGAGCTAGAATCTGCCTAGATGGTAAGCGTCCTTCACCTCCAACCTTAAGGTTATAGGTTCGAGTCCCTTACCTTAAGGTTATAGGTTTGAGTCACTAAGGGAGCACTAGGGAGTCGAGTCACTAAGGGAGCAAGCTAGGACCAGATAATATAAATTGAAAGCAAAACTGCCAAGGGGAATGATGAAATAACTTTTATTCACACGTGGTGAGTTTAAATGTTTCTTTTCCAATGTTTGTGGCAGAATTTGGTCAAAAGTTATGAAAAGACAGGGGTATCAGATGGTGGAGATTCGGATGTCATTGCTGCACAGGTACCCAGCGGAGTCGCCATTCTGTTGCTCCTCGTTTTTCGCCAAACGAGTTTTGGTGCACGACCTAACAACTCTTTTAGGCTTTGATAAATGAAGAGTCGTCACCTAACAAATTAAGGCGCGTTAGGGCACCTATCTAACCTAGCTAATTTTAACTATAGGTCAACGAATCAGAGATCGGGTAAGGGTTCATATTACCTTGATGAAAAAGTGTTAGGCATCTCTCGAAGTCCACAAATGTGGGTCCCAGCAGTATATCATGCAATTTTCGTGGGGCTTACAAGTAGCATTTAAGGTCACTTCATTTATTGGTTATTTAAACATGCTTGCTAAGTGATAACTAATATCAAACAATTAAGATCAATTTATTTACTTATTATTTAATTGAGCATGCAAAAATAGGTGATAACATAATACTAAACAATTAAGGACACTTTAGCTATTTTAATTAATTTGATAGGCATGCGAGACTAAGTGATAATATAATAACAAATAAATATTACACAATTAATAAAAAGATGAGCGAGGAGATAGAAATTTGCACAATTAGATAGAATAAACACTTTTTATTTTTATTAAACTACCCCAAATAATTATAATTGTAAAATAAGTAAAGTGAGAAAAGGAAAGGGAGACTCTGAAGGACTTTACGGATCAGCACTCGACTTTCTTTATTTCGGTCAGCTTCTCATAGAGACAGACAAAATCAAGGTTTGTCATTAAAACTGAGTCGATGTCATCATCTCCGTAGGGCCTAAACTACCCCTACTCCACCACCGCATGCTTCTCGTCTCTACAAGGTGCATATCGTCCCCGCTTAAGGTCCAAGAGACATTAGACTGCTATTAGGGTTAATTTAGACAAAAATAAAATATATGATTCCTAATAGGCCCACCTAGACATCAAGTCAAATAAATAGGACAACAATTAGCATGTAAATCAGATATTGGCCTCTAGGTTTTTATTTAGCATACTAGCAAACACAAGTAAGGGGAAAAGGTTGCATGCTAAGTGTGTGACATATTAACAAACATTATATCAATATAATTAATTTAGAGGACAAAAAAATATTACAAGTGCAGAAATATTCATTTACTTTTAATGAGGGCAGAAGATTGCTCACAGATGTATAAAATAATTTTTGTTTAGAGCAGATTATACTGTTATTAACTAACATGCTAAAAGTGAATCATTAATTTATTTTCAAACAAAAGAACAGTTTGTTAGTGCAGAAGTTACTTATTTCGAGTATATTTGAATTAGGGAAGTATGTTAAGGTGTCAGATTCATGCCGAAATAATTGATTTTAGGTGACAGGAAAATGTTTAAGTGCAACAAATAATTATATGATTTTAAAAAAAAAAATCATAGGAATGACCAAGATGCAGGAAATATTTTAGAGCAGTAGCCAATTTTATTTAATTATTGGCACAGGTTAGTCAAGATTAAGGGCAGAAGTATTTAAAACAGTGGTAGATTTAATTAGGTTAGCAAATTTGAAAATAGCAGATTTTAGAGAGATACGGAATATAATTATTAGTTAATTTTTAATTGGTTAGCAAATTGATCACAAAATGCAAGACATATTTTTATTTGCAAAGCATGTAGCGGATCAGAATGAATTATTAGTATTTTCAATAGCAAAACGGAGCAAAACCTAACTTATTTGAGTCAGATTCAATCTAGGAAGCAAATTATAATTTTTTTTTAAAAATCAGAATTTTACTCTTTTTATTCATTAATATACTGATTGACATCTCAACTTATTAATTATGTCCTATAGGCATGATTTCTAAGTATGAATATGCTGAAAATATTATCAAACTTATAGGCATGATATCTAATTCATTTACACAAATTATTAACCCTATAGACATGATATTTATCTAGTATGTAACAAGTTTAAACCTATATGCATGATTTCTAAGCCCAAAACATATTGAAAAATTATTTAGACCCTATAGGCATGGTATCTAAGATGACGAAATTATATAAAGCATATTATGACAATTATTCAAAGTTTATTCATTTATTGTATAAAGGGAGCTTTAGTTGAATTATATGGAACAAGGAGCAAATATATCACTTATTTGTGAAATAGTTATGAAGATGGTTAATGCTAATCCCATAACACATTATAATAAGCAATTAAAACACAATCCACTTTTAAATTAATTAAAGGATTAAATAGATGATTAATGACAAGAGCATATTCCGTTAGATCTAAATATATTTGTTAAAAATACGGACTATTAAACAAATCTCAATCCTATAACTATGGTTTCTAACGCAAACAAGTAACAATAATAAAAAAAAAAACAAGTAGCACGTAATTCCCTCCCCCCTTACACGATCCCCAATTATTTCATATAATAGAGTTAGAGTTATACAACAATATTACAAAATCCCATAAAATCAGCACTAATAGAAAGACAAACATCAAAATAAAGTAAAATAAGGCTCCGTCCAAATGTATTCTGATCCGAGCGAACTTTTCATGTGTCTTGAACTTCAAGTTCAAAACCTGCTAAAGGGAGTAGTGTAGTAGATACCTACAGTGACAAAGATATTCATAACACCGCATATTTATAGCAATCTATCACTTTATATATAGGCAACACACATAAGATTTGAAATGAATGAAGAATAATCAATAGATATATTATTACACACACAGAGAGAATAACGAATAACTAAATAGGATGCTTCCTCGTATTCAACTAAACACACAACAATGCAAACAATGCTAAAGATAAAAATTAAACTAGTGAAGGATACTAATCAGTTATGCAAAATTAATTATCAGCAATGAAGTTATTTGAATGGAAATGTTAGGTCCAAAACAGCAACACAACAATAAGAGACTAAGAGAGATCTAAAGCTTTACTAGAGTTCTTATTTTTCTTTTTATGAGTAACTATAAATTTTATTCTTAAAGCAAGTAAGTATGTGTCAAGTCTCTGAATGTGAGCCTGTGAATAATGAAGAGAGGGGTCCTATTTATATATTAGAAGAGGGGCATATATAAGGGATTTAAATATTTTAAGGAATCAAACAATATACCATTTTCCTTATTTCAAAGGAAAGCCAATCAGACTTATTTTTAAAAAAATTTCCAAATAATGAGCAACTAAATATGGCAAAGATACAAATAATACGAGAACCGGTTAGCATGTATAAGGAAAACAATAATCAATTGAGTCAAATATTCACCAATTAAGGCAACCATAAACAAACAAATAAAGATCCGTCAACTCATTAAGGGGCAAACGATTACTTAACAATAATCGCTAAATTAAGGGAAGGAAAGGAATATTCATACAACACGATTGCTTAAACAAAATATAAATAAAAAGGTAAAGGAATCAATTACATAGTCATTAGCTCAATAAACTTATTCATAATAACTCAATGAATGGTCAGGTCATAGATTACCACCAATTACCAATCCATATTGCATGCAACAAGTTTAACAAATATTAGAACATCAATTCAAGCAATTTAGGCAAAGTGGAAAATATTATTAGCAAAAGGACAATCTTGAATTTTAAGGGAAGCAAATATTATGATCAATTAGGAGAAGCAACTATCATAAGCAGTCGAAAATTAGCAATTCCATCATCATTATGACAAAGTAAACCTCAACGGAGACATCTCAAACAACCAACATTAGATATTAACATATTGTTAAAGAGAGCAATCCACTATATTGGAAAAGATCACCAATAATTCATGCTTGAGCCCCACCTTTGCAGTAACTATTGACTATCACAATGTAGCAAACATAAAATTACAAGAACAAAAATTTGTTAGAAGATGGGCAAAAATTAAATAAAGATGAACCTGAACGGATCTGAATTATGTTTAGTCTTCTAAAAGTTTTATTAAGTTTACTTTATTTCTGTATTCTCCCGGCTTTGAATTCTATCTTTCTGATTTGGGTTTGCGATTTTAATAATATTCTAGAATTCGTCGTCTAAAACTTTAATTTCAACGGAGTTCAATGTTACTGTTGATTTTTCGATGTTCGACACGAAAGAGAGGAGAGGCGGGCAGAACGAGAAGAGATGAGGCGATGGGCGGCGTTGCCTATGGTCGCTGAGCGGAGTTTCCTTCGTCGGAGCCTGCTGCTGGCCGGCATCGCTCACTGGAGCTATTGTTGGTTGCTGCTGTTTCTCGGAGTTGCTCGCTGCTGGTGGCTTTCCTCGTCGGTTGGAGCTGTTGCTCGCTAGTTCGGAGCCGCTTCGCTGGAGCTAGCCATTGGCTGGTCGCTGCTCGGAGCGGCTGGGGTTGCTGTCCGGCTGCTTCTCTTTGCCGACTGGTTGCTGCTGTTTTTGCTGGAAAAAGAAAAGAAGAGGTAAAGGAGAGAGAGAGGCGGCTGCTGTTGCTGGTGGAGAGAGGAGGGAAAGGAGAAGAGGTGAGGAAGAGAGAGAGGGACGGTTGCCGCCAGCAGGTGGTGATGAGTTTCACCGGAAAAAAATAGAGAGGAGAGCTGAGGGAGGCGGCTGATCTGTTGAGAAAGAGGAGAGGAAAAGAATATGTGCTAGAGACAGGGGCGGAGCTACCCTTGCCCGAGGGGTGTCAAGCGACACCCCTTCATCGGAAAATTACGTTGTATAGGTAAGTCAAATTCTGATTTTATACCTATATATATTAGAATTGACTCTCCTGGGGTTGGTTCAACGGTTCAGGGGCTACAAAGTTCCGCCTTGTCATTGACCTAGGCGTTGGGAGTTCGAACCTTGCTGAAGTCTATTTTTTTTAAAGGCTTTCAGCATTTTTTTTTCTACTTTTAAAACAACTGTAACTTTTTTGTCTTTAGTTTTTAGATAGCTAAACGTTTTTTTCCTCCAATTTTTAAACCATTGACTTAAATTAAGTTTACTTTAATATTTTATTTTTTTAAAAGAAATAAAATACACTTTAGGGATTTAGAGTCAAGGGATTAAACAAATCCCC